CCTTCCCGGAAGCAGATGTAGATGTGGAAGGTGTTTGATCTGTCTATTGGTTATCACTGACATCAACCCTACTAGCCACTGCATGATTAGCCCATGTAGAAGGTGGGCCATGGAGATCATAACAGAAATTCACTAAATGTCCTTCCCTGCCACAGTGTGTACACTTCGTAGTAGAGTTGCCTCTTCCTTTACCACGACCTCCCCCTGAGTCATGACCACCACCATGGCCAAACATGGAACCACCACAACCCCCTCGAGATGCATGTCTTCCCCCTTTATTACCACGTCCACCTCCTCTGACTACCACAAATATTGATCTGTCAGATGGTGTGGTACTATTTGTGGATCCCAAAGAAATCCTGCGAAGCCGTGCAAATACTTACTCAAGTGTAGTAAGAGCAAAACCTCCCAATATTTGTGCTCTAACTGGTTCATACTCTGATTTCAGCCCCACTAAGAACTTAGTGACATCCAGTTGCTCCCTCTGTTGTTGTTGAACCTTAACATCTGGTGTTAGGGGATGATAGACATTGAGTTCATTTCTAAGGTTTCTCATACTGGCATAGTACTCTTCTAGGGTTTGATTCCCTTGCTTCAGATTGAACTACTCCTGATAGAGTTGATATACCCTCGTAGTATTATCCTGTTTAGAATAAAGCTTCTTGGCATGTTCCAATATGTCCTTAGCTGTATTTAAGAACATAAAGTTGACACTTATTTTGGGTTCCATACTATTCCACAACCATGTCATGATTTGGGCATCTTCTTGTTCCTAGTCATCAAACCCAGGAGATTCAGCGGATGGTTTATCTTCCTTCACATGTTTCACTTTCCTCTTTGCCCTAAGAAAAACTTCCACTGACTTGGCCCATGTCACATAATTCTCACCATTAAGTTTAATTGAAGTCATCTGCACACCTAGATAGTCTGAGGGAATCATCACACCAGATTTCTGATCAGTACCACCATCTCCAATTGCTGCCATTGTGTCCCCCAATGCTACTTCTAATGCTGAATCCTTAGTCACCAAACGAGTACTGCTGTCAAGGCAACACTACAGCAGTTTCCAAAACACTGATAACAGTCTCACAACTAGTCACAATCAACAAACTTGATGTAAACTAACATTCAGGTCAAGAACTTGATGTTTYAGACAGATTCGGCTACCATTCAGATTAAAACATTGATGTAAACTACCAGTCAGAAATATTCAGCCACTCCTTCCAGCAGAATTTTTTTTTTTTTTTTTCTTTTCACACCACTACTGACAACTCAGAAATATTAATCACCATGACAGCAACTCAACCCCTCAAACAACCACACATAAACCCTCTTGAAACTGCTCAATAGAGGGTGAACATCACAAACACCACCACCCAACTAGGGCTGTCACACATGGTGACAGCAGTATTAGACTGATATCCTAGGGCTGCCGCACCTTCCTTATACTTGTAATAGGGATTGCGGCAGTCCTAAAAAAATAAAAAAGTGCTGCAGTTACCAGATTGTGTACCTTAGATTTCGCAGCCCAGAGAAGAAGAAAAGAGAAGGGGAGGTCGCAGGATAGGAAACTTGAAGTCGCAGCCTTCTTCTCCTTCGTTTAGTGCTCTGATACCATCACAAAGAACCATTCAACCTAAAAGCTTAAGCTTGTAGGTGAGGTCCTTGAATAGGTTGATATTCTCTAACACGCCCCCTTACACGAAAGCCCATTGGGTTTGAAGCGTGAACAAGCACAGGCCCACCCATACCTTGTGCTGAAACTTATTTAATTGTAACAGGGGTAACGAGGATCGAACACTAGTCCACTTGGTCAGAATGGCTCTGATACCATGTGACAGTAGTGGTTTCAGCAATTCGAACCAGTAGAGAATGAAGGAGAGAGAGAGAAGAAGAAGAAGAAGAAGAAGAAACAGTCGAACGTAGCAGGCTTAAACCCTACTAGTCGACCATAAGTATGAATTATGTTCTAATTAGTGTACAAAGACTAAACTTCCCCCACTTAAGTATGGGACAAGATGACTACAGAAGTAATATTAGGACTGCCACWTTAGCATATAACTTAAACATGAAGAAAAGACTAATCTACCCTTATTCGACCAACACTAACAACCTGCAAAAGGAGAGACCTTTTCTTTGTTTATCCCCAAACTGGCATATTTTTGTGTAAAGTGCATAATGATGACTGCCACCACTTGCTGTTATCTTGTGCTTTTGCTGCTAATATTTGGAATTGGGTCTTTATGTTTTTTGGGTGCAGGTGGATTTTGCCCTCTAAAGTAAACTTACTTTTGATCCGTCTATTTTTGGGCAGCCAACTAAGAAAGGGAAACTAATGTGGAAGTGCATCAGAGCAGCCATTTTGTGGACTATTTGAGAGGAGAGGAATGTTAGAATATTCCAAGAAAAGGAAAGAAGCATCGATGAAGTAAAGAAGTGTATTTTGACAAGAACAATTCATTGGCTGAAAACTTCAGATCTTTTTAGAGGTTACTCCTTTGATGATCTCTGGAAAAGTTGGGCAGATGTGGCCTCAACAGCCCCCAAAAAGAATAGACTATAGGTAGAGTCGAGACGCCATACAGAGGGTGTGGTAAAGCTGAACTTTGATGGTAGCAATCAAGGTAATCCAGAGCCTTTGGGTATAGGAGGGGTCATAACAAATAAGGATAGCAACTTTCTATCCCTATTTTCAGGACCGTTAGGAGTTGGTAATGCTACAAGGGCTGAGATACTGGCTGCGGTACAAGGAATACAGGTTGCCAACCAGCTAGGAGTGGAAAATCTGATAGTTGAGGGAGATTCTAAGGTGGTAGTGAGTTGGTTGTTGAGTCCGGAAACAGTTTTCTAGGGCTACAGGGATCTTCTTAAGAAAGTTAATTGGCTCAAAAGGAATATGTCAGTTAGCTTTCAGTGGGTTAGTAGATCAGCAAATGCCATGGCTGATTCTTTGGCCAAACAAGGGGTCTCGAGGGTTGAATTATTTTGTGCTACCCTATGATTGTATTTTGTTAAGAGTTTGATTATGCTTTCACCTCTAAGGGGAGGTAACACCTTGTGCCTCCTCTTAGGGTGAATGTACACTTTGTTTCTTATTATTAGTAAAATTATCATTCATTTATCAGAAAAAGTCAAAATTGTGAGTTTCAAGGCTTAGGCCTGACATCCACCAGGTCTTTCACACATCAGATCTTGATTGCTAATGAATGTGTTGAGGACTTCAGGAGATATAGAAAGAAGGGTATAATCTGCAGACTGGACTTGGAAAAAGCTATGATTTGGTTTATTGGACTTTTCTAATTGAGGTCTTGCGATATTCTGGGTTTGGGGAAAGATGGTGCACTTGGATTTTGGGGTGTCTAAACACTTGTCATTATTCAATACTAGTTAATGGTACAATAGTAGATAACTAGATGTGGAATTACTCAAGCAGATGCATTGAACAGAATTGTGTTGAGGATAGATTCGAGAGGGTTAGTATGAGGGTGGAGAGTAGGGAGAGGAGTTCCTATTACACATTTGCAGTTTGTAGACGATACGATCCTATTCTGTGAGGGGGATGATTTGAATTGGTTTAAGAATTTAAAGCTTCGATGCAGCTTTTTATAAGAATGTCAATTTTGAAAAAAACTGCTTAGTTGGGATCAATATGGAGCAAGAGGAGATGGCAGAGTGTGCAGATATCTTGGGTTGTAGTGTTGTGTCTTGACCATTGACATATCTTGGTTTACCATTGGGAGCAAACCCAAGGGATGCAAGTTTTTGKAATCCAATAAAAAATGATTCTCTAGGAAGATGGCTAGCTGGAAGAAAGGGTATTTGTCTGTAGGTGGTAGAATCACTTTGATCAGATCAACATCGGCTAACTTACCTGTTAACTACCTGCCAGTTTTCAAGATTTCATTAAGTGTTTAGAAGAAGATAGAGAAGATGATGAGGGATTTTTGTGGGAACCAAGGGAGGAAAAGAGAGATCATAGGATAAGTTGGGAGGTAGTGCATAGAGATAAAAAAAACAGGGGGATTGGGCTTAGGGAATTTACAAAGAAGGAACATAGCATTGTTAGGAAGGTGGCTTTGGAGATTGCCCTGATATAGGGGTAAGTTGTGGATTAAGGTGATTTTTGAGAGCAGAGGTAATCGCTGTGGTAGAAGGCATATCAAAAGTCTAGGATGATGGGCATTACTAAATTATTTGTTAATGGAGACAGAAAGCTGGTAATCAATTGGTTACAAGAAGAGGAGTTGAAAATGTGATTCTTCAACAACAAAAAGAAAAGAATCAAGTGGCTAACCAAAGATATGGAACTAAGAATTGGATGGGTTAAGAGAGATGCTAATTCTGTAGCTGATACTCTAGCTAAACAGGGGGTGGGGAGAGTTCTCTGTTCTGGGCACAGATGTAAGGGATTTGGGGTGGGATGGGGAGAGATAAGAGGTTTTATTTCTCAGTCTTTGTTCTGTACTTCTATGTATTATTCCTTCTATTTCTTGTGTAATCTAATGAAATCTTCAAGTTATTGATAAAAAAATGATATGGAATTAAACAAAACAAAATGGAACAACAGGATTCATGCAGTGGATCCCATATAGTTGCTATTAAGGCTTAAATGATGATGAACTGTCAAAATCTGTTGATGTTAAAATTTTGATCAAATGTTATTGAAGTTTGACCTAAACTTCAACTGGGAAAGTTTCACTTCTATTGCCATGGAAATGGAAGTTTTTGGTGGAATTAATTCAGTTTCCTTGGAAGTTTAAAACCATGGATTTAATGTGTTAACTTCTTTCCATAAACTTACTTTAGATCTCCACTACAAACATCCTAATTATTCTTCTGAATGTACCTTTTCTTTTTACATTCTTCAGAAACAGATCTGCTGTTGATAGATTTCTGTGTCGGCATCTCACTGACATTCACTTTTTTTTTCCATCTAAGTTCTCAGTTTCGACTTATTTACTGATCATTTGCAGTTTTCTTTCTCTTTTATATATATGTAGGCAATATTTCAAAGATATCCTCGGCCTGAGAAGGAATACCAGTCATTTTCTCTTATTTACAATGACAGGTCACTTGATTTGGTAAGTACTTTCTTAATGTGATCATAGGTCCTCCATTTTCTTAATTAATTTCTATTTCAATTGATTGCTGGAGTTGTTTCTGCTAATGCACTTTCTCTTTCTGTATTTTTTGAGAACTGTTTTGGGTTTTTTCTGTAACAGATCTGCAAGGATAAAGATGAAGCTGAAGTCTGGTTTATTGGTCTAAAAGCATTAATTTCACGTAGTCATCATCGAAAATGGAGAACAGAGTCACGAAGTGATGGAGTTTCATCTGGAGCAAATAGTCCTAGAACATATACCCGAAGAAGTTCTCCTTTGAGTTCTCCATTTGGCAGCGGTGATAGTATGCAAAAGGTGTGCAATGCTCATTGTGCTTTTCCATATTCCTGAACCTTTTTCACTAAGCATCTCAAGTATGAGAATTGTTTCCTTGTGTTGATCCAGGATGGAATAGATCCTCTTCGTCTCCACAGCCCATATGGAAGCCCCCCTAAGAATGGTATGGACAAGACATTTTCTGATGTCATATTATATGCTGTTCCTCCGAAGGGTTTTTTCCCCTCGGATTCTGCCAGTGGGTCAATCCACTCTTTATCTTCAGGTGGCTCAGATGGCCTAAATGGGCACATGAAGGGCATGGCAATGGATGCTTTTCGGGTGAGTCTATCAAGTGCTGTTAGCTCATCAAGTCAAGGTTCTGGTCATGATGATGGTGATGCTTTAGGGGATGTTTTCATTTGGGGTGAAGGCACAGGTGATGGGGTTTTGGGTGGGGGCATGCATAGGGTAGGAAGCTCATCTAGTGTTAAGATGGACTCTTTTGTGCCTAAAGCCTTGGAATCTGCTGTAGTACTTGATGTCCAGAACATAGCTTGTGGTGGAAGGCATGCTGCTCTAGTAACCAAGCAAGGAGAGATTTTCTCTTGGGGGGAGGAATCAAGAGGGAGGCTTGGGCATGGTGTAGAATCTGATGTGTCACACCCAAAGTTAATTGATTCTCTTGGAAATACTAATATTGAACTTGTAGCATGTGGGGAATATCATACTTGTGCTGTAACACTATCGGGAGATCTATACACATGGGGTGATGGTACTTACAAATTTGGGCTACTTGGTCATGGAAATGAAGTGAGTCACTGGGTCCCAAAAAGAGTTAATGGGCTCTTAGAAGGTATACATGTGTCATCCATCTCATGTGGACCATGGCATACAGCTGTTGTGACCTCTTCTGGTCAACTGTTTACTTTTGGTGATGGAACTTTCGGTGTTCTGGGCCATGGAGATAGGAAAAGTTTGTCCATACCCAGGGAAGTAGAGTCTCTCAAGGGGCTTCGCACTGTTCGAGCAGCTTGTGGTGTCTGGCACACTGCTGCAGTTGTAGAAGTTATGGTTGGGACTTCAAGTTCAAGCAACTGTTCCTCAGGGAAGCTGTTTACGTGGGGAGATGGAGACAAAGGTCGACTAGGGCATGGTGACAAGGAGCCCAAACTTGTTCCTACTTGTGTTGCTCCTCTAGTAGAACCTAACTTTTGTCAAGTTGCCTGTGGACACAGTCTGACAGTTGCACTTACAACTTCAGGCCATGTTTTCACAATGGGAAGTCCAGTTTATGGTCAGCTAGGAAATCCTCAAGCTGATGGTAAGCTCCCAAATCGTGTTGAAGGAAAGCTCCTGAAAAATTTTGTTGAGGAGATAGCTTGTGGTGCTTATCATGTTGCAGTTTTAACCTCAAGAACTGAAGTTTATACTTGGGGTAAAGGAGCAAATGGCCGGCTAGGTCATGGGGACACTGATGATAAAAATTCTCCAACGCTAGTTGAAGCTTTGAAAGATAAGCAAGTGAAAAGTATTGCATGTGGTACAAATTATACTGCAGCTATCTGTCTTCATAAGTGGGTATCTGGTATTGATCAGTCGATGTGCTCTGGATGTCGTATGCCATTTAATTTCAAGAGGAAACGACATAATTGCTATAATTGCGGGCTTGTTTTCTGTCATTCATGTAGCAGTAAAAAATCTCTGAAGGCTTCTATGGCACCAAATCCTAACAAACCTTACCGTGTCTGTGACAACTGCTTTGGTAAACTAAGGAAAGCTATAGAGAATGATTCTGTACCTAACTCTGATCTAAGTAGAAGAGGAAGCATTAACCAGGGGTTTAATGAATTTGTTGAAAAGGATGAAAAGTTGGATTCTAGGTCTCAAGCACAACTAGCTAGATTTTCTTCAATGGAATCCTTCAAGCAAGTTGAAACTAGAGCGAAACGAAACAAGAAACTAGAGTTTAACAGCAGCCGTGTATCTCCTGTTCCAAATGGTGGCTCTCAATGGGGAGCACTTAATATCTCTAAATCTTTCAATTCCAGAAAATTCTTTTCAGCTTCTGTTCCTGGATCGAGGATTGTTTCTCGAGCAACATCACCTATATCAAGACGACCCAGCCCACCTCGCTCCACAACACCAACCCCAACTTTGGGAGGACTTACATCTCCTAAAGTTGTTATTGATGATGCTAAAAGGACAAATGATAACCTGAGCCAAGAGGTTCTTCAGTTAAGAATACAGGTATATATCTCTTCATTGTTAATCATCCTTCATTTTTTATTCCTTTTTTCTTTTACTCCTGCATCTGCTTTTGCTTATTTTCTGATTTAGATGACAAAATGCCAGAAGAAGCAATATAAATTATATGTTGAATTAGTTTTTGTTTCATAACATCTCTAACTTGTTCTGTAGAAGCTAAGCATGCATGTAAGTAATTTGGAAGAAAACCCACTTCCTTATTTGGTAAATTACTAGTAAAGGTGCACATGCTTTGCACATGTCAATTTTATATGATGATGATAATGATAGCAATAATCTGTATCCAAAATTTTCTGCCTTTTTTATATTTCTTGGAATAAAAGATAATTCTTATTTATCACACTTTTCTTGTTTCATATGATGAATATACAATATTAGAGATGTGTCCAAATGTTTTCTACGAACTTTATGTATTTTTAGCAATATTTTGTGTTTTTATATTTTAAATTTTATTATTTAATTATGACATCATGGGTTGATCCATTTGATCTAGATGGTTGAATTGCTTACTTGCTAGCACCTGGACAAAAGAAAGGTTTCATTAAGCATGGGTTTTATATTTTTAGAAGTATTGGATATAAATCTATTTAGTAGAATTTATTGGTGAAAAAAAAACTTAAATAGAGGATTTGATGAGACAGAATTTGAGTTAATACCTTAGGACCTCGTTTGTGTCTTGGTAAACGACTTACCTAGGTAAATGCACTTATCCGGGCAAGTGTTTCTTGGGAAACACTGATCCGGATAAGAACACTTACCATTGTTTTTTTATTCCCCAGGCAAAGGTGTACAATGATCGATTTATACAAAAAAGTGACATTATTAAATGGACAATATTGTTCCATCACATTTAGCGATTTTGGCGTGCATGGATAAGTAATTTACCCTAGTATGAGGAGAGTATTACTTCCCCAAGTATATGAATCGCTCAAGAATCATTCTTTCTTGGGGGACCCACATACCGGAAAACAAATGCTGGTTTATTTCTTTTCCGTTGAACCTACCAACCGACCCACTCCCACTTCCTAGAAAATGAATGGTGCCTAAATATAAGACTTAATGAGATGGAATTGAATGAGCTGGAAAGTAGTAGTTAAACATTCAAATTACATTTTCTGTTGTCACATTTAGAGAAGACCTAAATTCAAAATACATGTATTTTAGTCAAAAAAAGTTCCACAAGTTCATTCATAATTTTAATAGTACTAGATGTTAATCAGTTGACCTGATTTGACACAAGATGCTTCACTTCTGGTTTTGGATGACCCATGAATAGCCACACTACCAAGTTATGAGTTGATGTCTTGGCTGATTTGATTAATATGATTTTAATTAATTTCTTAATAGGTTTTATTTTTAATAAACTCAGTTTTATTTATTATTTTTATTATTCCCAAATGGAATTGATGTGGACTTCAAATTACCAAAAATCAATTTTAACATTAGTAAATTATGATTACTTTTTATCCGTATTAGATGTAAATGTAATTTAAATAGATTTTGTGATTTATTAATCACTATTATTATTTTTGTTTCTTTCAATTTTTTTTAATAAAATTGCATTAATTTTTATTATTATTTTTTTAACTTTTTGCTTTTTAATGGAAGTTAAATGGACCTTAAAAATTAATTTTATATTCATTTCTATTTGTTTCTTTGCTCTATTCTTTATTATCTTAATGTAACACATAATTAATTATTAACTATTATTTATATTAATAATTTATTTTATAATTTTTATTAATAAAAACAAATGTTATTCTTTTATTAATTTTTTTTGAAAAGGTAAGGTAATTTATTAAAACAAGAACCAGTACAAAGGAGCCTAGGCCATTATAGGCTGCCCAGAGCCACCACAAATTACAGATACAACCAGTTCTGAGATCTAAACAACAGACTCAAATTCTGATTTTTAAACACCTCCGTTGTCAACACTCAGGACAGAAGTTTACCCACAGCTTTCTACACCATTTCCTCTAAAGATTTAGCTTTGCCCTGAAAAATTCTGTTATTTCTTTCAATCCAGATAGTCCAAAGCACAGCAGCCATGATAGTCTTCCAAACCAAGATACCTTTCTTGCTGAGACCCTCAATCTGCCAACACAACAGCATTTGGCATTACCCAGCTGATTTCCAAAGCTTGAAGAAAATGCTGTGTGTTGGCAGAAAGGTATCTTCCAAACCAAGATACCTTTCTTCACAGAATTTGGCATTACCCAGCTGATTTCCAAAGCTTGAAGAAAATGCCTCCAAATATAATTCGAGACTGGGCAATGTAAGGCCAGATGTTTAGTAGTTTCTACTACCCCACCACATAAGCCACATGACATGTCCGAAATCTGAATGCCACGTTTCACTAGATTAACTTTGGATAGACATTTATTTAAAGCCATTGTCCAGAGCAAAAACTTCACTTTAGAAGGACTGATTGAGCTCCAAATCTTCCTAGCCGGAAAGTTTTCCTAACCTGAACTTATCAACTTACTGAACATAGACTTAACAGAAAACATGCCATCAGCTTCCCATTTCCATCTCCAAGCATCCTCCATGTTTGGGTCAATCCTCTGGTTTCGGAGCAGGCCCAACAGAATTGCATACTCCTCAATTTCCCAGTCAAAGAGGCGCCTCCTACAAGTTAGGTTCCAACTGAAAGAGYWMCCRTYCAYRTTGAAATTCTCAGCCACCGAGGAGTCCTGATTTACAGAAATTTGATACAAGAGAGGAAAGGCATCTTTCAGACACTTCAGAACACCAAGAGTCTTTCCAAAATTTGATTCTTTCTTCATTTCCCAAGTTGTAACCAATTCCTTACTCAAATAAATTAGCGTTCTTCATTATACCTGTCCAAATGGAGCTTATCCCTCTTGAAATAGGAGAATTGGATCTCCAATGACCCCAGTCCACTCCATATTTGTCCACAATCAGCTTTCTCTACCAAGCATTTCTTTCATTTGCAAATATCCAAAGCCATTTACACAGGTGGGTAGAATTGAATTTCTTCAATTTTCTTATTCCCAACCCTCCAACTTCCTTAGGAAGACACACTTGATCCCAGTTTACAACATGAACCTTCTTCTCCTCCCAACCTCTCCAAAGAAAGTTTTTCTGTAGTTGCTCCAATCTGTTAGCCACTTTGGAAGAAATAGGAAATAGGGAGAGGTAGTAAGTAGGTAAATTAGAAAGAGTATTCTTAATCAAAATCACTCTCCCCCCCAAAAGAAAGGTATTTAGCTTTCCAGGAAGCCAATTTCTTCTCCATTCTTTCAACCACTAGATTCTAAATCTGAGAGGAAGTATATTTAGCTCCAAGAGGGAGCCCCAAGTACTTGACCGAAAGATGGGCAGTCTGATAAGCCATAACTTCTAGATTTGTAACAAGACCTACAGGGATAATCTGAGATTTACTCAAATTAACCTTAAGGCCAGACACCACATCAAACCAACTCAAAATTCCAAGCACCACCTCCAGTTGATTAGGAGAAGCATCAACCAAGCATAAGGTGTCATCAGCAAAGTGAAGAATATTGACTTTTTCTTTTCCTAGAGCAATTGCAATCCCAAAGCCCATTCTCAGCAGCCTTCTTGCTAAAGAGAGGAAATTTCCATGACGAAAATGAAGAGTAGGGGAGAGAGAGGGTCACCTTGCCTCAAACCTCTTGAACTTCGAAAAGACCCCGTCGTTTGCCTGTTAATTAAGATGGAGAACTTAGGAGTCTTAACACAAACTCTGATCCAGTTTCTCCAAATCTGCCCAAAATTCATTTTCTCCAAAACCAGATCCAAGCAGTGCCAGTTAACATGATCATAAGCTTTTTCAATATCTAGTTTACACAGAACAGCTGGGGTCCCTTCTCTTCTTTTGGAGTCCAACAGTTCATTGGCAATGAGAACAGAGTTAACCATCTGTTTACCCGGGACAAAAGCACTTTGGTTACAAGAGATAACACTGCCTAACACACACTTCATTCTTTCAGCCAAAACCTTAGCCAAGATTTTGTAGAAACTGTGCCAGAGACTAATGGGCCTGAAGTCCGTTATATTGACAACCCCCTCAATTTTTGGAATAAGAGTGATGAAAGTTGCATTCAGACTTCTCTGAAAGGAGGCATTAGTGTGAAATGCC